TTTTTGGATCCTAGTTTCTCAATTATGTCAAATTTCCATTACTACGTGAGTATAAATTCTGTTGGATGCCTCTGAAATACTCAAGGTAGTAATGTATGAAAAACATTTCTTTAATGCTCAACTTGAAAACAGGTACTATGGAGTTCTCTGGAGGGCAGCCTAGAAAATTCATTTTGGTCTTACTATGTCTTTTAGTCAACACTGATCCCTATCAGGGTATTTCATTCCATCACAAGTCTACTGTCTCATAGAGAAACATCATTAAAAGAAGCAACAAAGACCAGAAGTTATACCCTTTTATTCCTTTAATAAATGTGTTTAGCTTGCTAAAAAAGGTAAATGAATAGCAGTCCACGCTATTAAAAGTGGTACAAATTCTTCATAGGTGCTGGTATATCGCTTCTGCGCAGCATCAGGTTTGCGGATGAAAACTTTCTTTTGTCCTCTCAGGTTTTGAAGTAAATGCCTTGTGTTAACAATGTTGTAACCAGGCAAGGTGTTTAAATCTGAAAATAATTGCTGTGTTTTACTGGTGAATTGAATTTTTTCTCCTGATCTTTCCGAGGGAAGAAAATGAAGTCCTCAATTTCCTTCTCTGCTATTCTTTGTTGCTCTGCTGAGTGATTACATTGCGGTTTGCATCTCGGTTGGTAAATGAACTAGTTCTGGTGTGGTGGCAATTCATGCTGTTAAAGGGGAGCCCTGGTGCTAATAGATGGTTTTGTTTGCCATTCTAATTAGTGTTTTGGTTTATTGGATGTTTCTCAGCCTTGTCTGTGGTGCATGATTGAAAGCTCTTTGGTAAATGAGGGGAATAGCTGAACTTGTGTGATGCCCTGAATGTGTTTAATACAAGAAAATCAAGCTCCCCGAATGCAGTGTTTTTAAAATGGAAGGTAGTAAATATGCATTTTCTGTGTACACATACTATTATGTAGCATATATACTTTCTTTTTTAAATGTTGCTAACTACTCTTTGAATTCTGACTGAGAATTGTTGACAAAGGGAAACTAATAGTTAACAAGAAATCAGTACTGTGTATTGCTGTGGAAATCAGGCATACTTCACTTCGGAGAAGTTATTCTCTCAGGTACGTGTAAAATGGGTTTCAGTCTATCCTCAGTTGTCCATAACAAAACTGGGCTTCTTGTGGCACGCCATTGTTACGAGTTGATGCTGTTTCTTGACTTTTAAGAACTGATAATGGTTTTGTCTGTATTTTTGGTAATACAGCTGAACCAGATCCTTTTCTAACATTTTCCTTTCTAGGCTAAATAATATTTCTGGAGCATGCAAATGGATAGCGTGTGACAGAACTGATCATATTGTTTACCTTTTTAACAATTTTGAAAATTATTTTAGCAGATAGCACCCAGAGGCGTCACACTGTTTATTCTGTGGTGCATGTAGAATTAAAGAGAGATGAGTGGAGAATTCAGATAAACTTATACTTTACTCTGATGAGAACAGAGAGAAAATGTGTCAATCTTCAAGTTTAGGGCAAAATTTCAGTTATGAAAACATACTGTTGCAGACTGTTTATCAGACTTTGATCAGAACAGGCTGAAGGGCTTGGGTTTGGTTGTTGTTGTTTTCCTCGTTCCCTAAAGTTCAGAACTTTTCCATTTCTGTAGTACAGCAATATCATTCCATAATCTTTGCCATTTGTTTCAGTTGGTTTGAATGTTTAGCAGGTCAGTCTTCATCTGCTTGATGGGAAGTGGCTCTCGAGGAAAATAACTTATGCCAGATTGACCTGTAACAGATTCTACATTCTCTAGTCCTTCAGTGAATGAAGAAATCAAGCAAAAATGAAAAATTCATCATTGCTGCTGACAGAACAGAGAATAGCTAGGTAGTCCTGTGTTTGGCGCATAGTCAGAGGTTGGTGATTAGTGATTTCACTTTTGTCTGGAAAATTCTTCACTACAGAGTCCAGTAAGTTTTGATCCTGATTTAGTTCTTACTCATCATCTGCTCACTGATATTGGCAATAGAATCTTTCACAGCACTTAACAGAAAGAATACCCACTTTCGTTGATCGCTATTTCGGAAAACATGCATCCAGCGCTCTCGGATAATGATCCATCTTTGACCATGCCATGCAGTTGTGCTAACTCTAAGTTGGACTGTTTCTGTGCAGTGCATCACCTTTAAAAATATAACTCTCAAAAAAATCATCAGTTGCTGCAGAACGGAGCTGCTACCGCTTGAGCAAAGTTGACTGTTAAGACAGTATTTTCTGTGAATTACAGTCTCTTATGGCACTTCAGTTTTTCTCAAGACCGTCTGCTTTTTTAAGAATATTGAAACTACCTGTCGCATGGTAGAAGTACATGTGCTTTTTGCAAGGGAATGTGCAACCTAAGACATGCTGCTGCTATGTGAATAGAGCTTAGTTGTCATCTTCAGTCACCTTGTGTTTTACTGTAGGATTGCTCATTAAGCATGATGGTCTGACAATGGTATGAAAGAGTGAAAATATAGCATAGCATATTGTCTCAGTTCTGGAAATGTCATGGTTTTCTTTTTCTTAAATGTTTACATCAATATAGGTAAACAACTTACCTTGTATTATTAGTTCCCAGTCTTTACAAGGGAAGAATTGGTGTTGGTACAAGTTAGAGTTTCACTTTTCACCCATCAGGTTGGGTTTGGTATTTTTTGGACTTTGCTTCAGCCATCTTTGCAAACCCTGTCCATTAATTGTTCCTTGCCTGTCTGTTGGTAAACAAAATACATCACTGTTATTGTCTGTTTGTAAGGTGGTGTTTTTTAACTATTTTCTGAAGTCTTTTAATCTCTGAACAACCATTTAGATACCATGGAGATCCTGAGTAGGATTTCAGTAGTGGCTTTTATGAAAGGATTGAATTTGAAAAGTAGAGTTGTAATATTACACTGAAACAAATATATTAACCTATCCCCCAAAAGCCCGCATCTGATCCAGTTGAATAGTTAAAAATTATGAAGAATCATGATTTGCAAGTCACGTTAGAAAGTATGCTTCCAGCAGAAGAATAGTCTGTCATTACTGTGCATTTAAATGAGAGAGAAGAACATGACCTTGCCAGCCAAAATCAGTTTTTCCCAATTTGAGATTTCAACATCATTGGAATACTCTGAGAATCCTTTTCAAAGGAATGAAGTAATTCAGCCTGTGGGACAGCTTGTTGCCATCTAGACAAATTTGTTGTTACCAGAAGAAAAAATATTCTTTGTCCATTTATTTAATGCAGCTGTCATGGTGAACCGTTTCGTGCCCTTCAGACACAATTTCCCTTAGCGGATTGTGCCATTTTATTATTAATATCGCTGCCACGAAATTTTGGAAACCCACACAATATTGGACAGACCTTGGGACTTGAAGAAAATGTGGTTGATCTCAACCCCCTCCAAATGGGGTTGGAGGCAAATTGTGCTTTTTGCTGTGAAGTTCCTAATGTCTGCCAGCGTGCAGCTAGCTAGCTATGAGTTGACTGAACAGAAACCCAGGAACTCTCTTGGAGTATTGTAACTCGGCGTACGTGGACTGGAAAGGGAAAGCAGTACTGAGAGTTTTCTTTGCCTATGGAACGTTCACATGGTCTGCATCCTCAGGAAGCCAAATACTGATGGGTATACGGTTCCTTCTTATTATGCCTCTCTTCGTTATTTAATGTTTCCCAGATTACTTCTGGGAAATGAGGTCTCAACACCGAACTTGAGGTCCACTGACAATTTGGGATCAAACTGCGCCAGGACAACCTGCATACTATGAGATAATATATTTGCGGAGCAAAGGTGGCCATCTCGGTTGAGATCTGCACGTTTGCAGCACGAACTATAAGTGAGTAAAAAGAAATTCAAGTTCTTACAACGCGGTGGTATAAGGCTGATTATACTTAGTTTTCTTATCATAGTAGAAATGAGAAGAGAGAGAACAGAAATTTCCTAGAATTTAAAATATGAATGGCACAATTCTCTTTCTATTTTGCGTCTCTAGGGCAATCATCTTTGTTCTCTCATAAAACTTGAATCAAAAGTTGTTTTCGCTTCTCCTGCTCATCCATTCCTACAGGTGCGAGTCAGAATCCTCCAACCAACTAAAGGAACACCGAGTAACTCTTCTGATTTCTGCTCAAGATTAATCACTTTCTTCTTCACGGTGAAACTTTTGTTTCCTTCGTACCAGTGGAGTGTTCCAGCAATTGCGATGTCTCTTTCTACCACTTCCAGATTTGCACGGTACTGGATCTGCAGCCTGGAGCCTTAAATCTTCCTCATGCATGTAGGTTGGAAAATTGGTAATGACAATATTTCATTCAGGTGGATTATCACTTTCTAGCTGATTAATACTGTTTGGAAGCAGAATGTGCTCTTTTATTCATGGTTTTGCTTAAACCAGGTAAGCGCAAGTACTGTTACCAAACAAAAAGCACAGCAAGTTACTGGAAATGGAGAGACGCAAGTGTTTTGAAGTCACTTATGTTTTCCATTCTGTGTTAGGTTTCTAGTCAGGAGGCTCTGGTCTCTTTGAATTGTAGGATTTAAGATTTGAATATGCAAAACCTTAAAGCTGCCTGGGTGGAAATGGCACAGTTTCATTTTTTTCTAATTTTTTTTCTGATTTGTGGAACTGTCAGATG